GACAGCTTGCAGGAGTCGGTTCTTTCTTCTGAGTGGACCTGGGCATCGAACATCAAACCATCAGGCTCGACAGCAAGTGTCCTTATCTACCCAGTCATTTGCTGGCCTGCCAGACATATTTTTAACCCTAGAAGAATGCATATAACATGGAATCACAAAAGACACAAACTGAATTATAAAAGAAAGAGAGAGGAAAAGACAGGAATGAATATATAATTAACAGATAGAAAACCAATAAAAATGTAGTATTTATGACCTATATCAAACATATTGTATTAAAATTTTAACTATGTCATTATTTTACATTGATAATGTAATCTTAAACCCAAGAGCATCAGTAAGTACATGGAATGTAAGTAATCTAAACTTTCATTGTTCCATGTTGTAGTCACTAGACGTTTGTACCCATTGATATTTAAATTTAAATTCAGGCCTCAGGCAAATTAGAATCATTAGCAGTGTTTGGTAGTGCCCTGTGCGAATGGCTGCCACCCTGGGCAGTCTAGACAGAGAGCATTAGCATTGCCCTGAAAGCTTTTGAACGCTCTGGTAGACAGCGCTGGGCTAAACACATGAGCACAAAAGAGATTTCAGATGAGATGAGAAAACAAGAACCAGATATGAGGCGTCTGGAGATGAAAGGGAAAGAGAGAGACAATAAAGCCATTCTAAATCTAAAGAGACAGGTGAGCAGAGTCTCCAGAGCAAGGCACGCTGGGTGGGGTAAGAACTGGAGGAGCGGACTCTGCAATGGTGCATACACCTCTCTAAATGCTCAGGACTCTAAGCCCGAAGTATCATAATCAAAGCCATAAACAGACAGAGGCGTAATCGCATTGGGGGATCTGACAACCCCTCTTTCAGCAAATAAAGCTCAAATGGGAAGTCGGTTGGATAAATTAAATGTGGACAGCAATGGCCTTTGACAGAAAGCTGCAGTAGACACTTGCTATTCAGACACACTGGAGTGTTCTCCACATAGGGTCATGGACTTGTTTTTAAAATAAGTCCCAGAACATTTAAGAAGATGAAAGTCACACGTTTGTTAACCATGATAAAATTAGAAATCAATGAAGAAACATATCTTGCTGGACACAGTGGCTCACATCTTTAATTCTAGCCCTCAGAAGGCAGAAACAGGTGGATCTCTTTGAGTTTGAGGCCAAGTTGACCTATCTAGCAAATTTCAGGGCAGCTGGGGCGACATAGGGGGACTCTATCTCAAAGAAATAAAAAGTTACACTTAGAGTAATAATGGCAGTCCTACACAGTCATTCAGGGGGTAGAAGGACAAAGGGACATCTCTGCATCACTCCATGACACCAGCATCAACCAATGCCAAAGACAGCTCCAGACTGAAGTCTGTCATGTACCTAGGTACTCTTTTTTTAATTAAGTGTATTTTTAATGGTTGCATAAAAACAGCATCTATCGGTGTGATACTCTGTATTGTTTTGAGGTATGAATAATAATTTATTGTATAATGTTAAAGTCAAGTTAAAACATCATTCCAAACATTTATCACCCTAGGTACTCTTTATTCATTTCTTGTTTTTTGTTTTGTTTTAAAGATTTATTCTTTTTTTATATGTGTGAATGTTTGCTTGCATATATGTCTATGCACCCTATGTTTTCCTGGTATCCATGGAGGCCCCTAAGAAGGCATCCCATTTCTGGGAACTGGAGTTATAGTCAGTTGCAAGCTGCCATGTAAGCGGTAAACTAAACTTAGTTTCTCTGCAAGAGCAGAGAGCACTTCGGACCACTGAGCTATCTCTCCAGCCCCCTTTGTTTGATCTTTTGAGTCAGGGTCTCGTGTAGCCCTTGCTGGCTTGAACTCCTGATCCTCTTGTCTCAACCTCCCAAGTGTTGAGATTTCAGGTGCCACCATATTAGAAAATAACATCCACTGATTAAACATCATGATGGGATGATTTATTATGTGGAGAGTAAAAAGAATCAAAGACAAAGTAATACATTAACTGAACTTTAATGTAATTGTATTTTAATATAAATAATATAGGAAAGCATTTGTCAGTACTTAAAACCCGTTTGTGATGGTTGAGAGATGAGAATGTCCCCCACGGGCTGGAAAAGGAGTCCCAGAACCCATGAGGCTCTCAGATGCAGAGCACAGGGGACTGCCTGAGCTCCACAATGACCGAGACAGCTGCATTTAGAGCAGAGAGAAGCAGAGAGAGAGAGAGAGAGGCAGACGGCCCAGGGCAGCCTGGGTCAGCTCCAGCCAGATGCTGTCAGACACACACGCCCGCCCCTTCCTGCAGAGGCTCCCGGCTCATCTGCGAGCCAGCCAGTCCCCTCCCCTCTTCACACACATCATTATTCTCCCTGCTTCTGGCATCCTCCTCAGCAGGTGCCTGGAAGACCCAACCAGACAGGCCAGCAGACTGGATTTCCCCTGTGGTGGCTCGGGGCTTCCTGATAGAGTACAGGTGTTTCTCTCCCTGCTATGACTGACCCAGGCTCCTGCTCCCCAGCAGCACTTTCCTGGCAGTTCTGGATGGTGCATTTGGCTGAAATGAGTCACTTGCTTTGTATCTGGAGGCATTTTGGCAGTGGTTGTTCAGGGAAAATTAGGAATGCTAGAACATTCATTTGTCAGAGTAGCCTCTGAGTATCTAGGTGTGTTCCTGTAGGCCTGCAATCCTAGTTAGGTGGGAGGTGGAGGCAGGAGGATTGAAAATTCAATGACAATGTGACAGAGTGAGTTGAAGACCACTGTGAGACTGCATCTCAAAATAAGATGTCTGTGAGAAAAAGGGCCGGAGCCTGAGGAGAGGACAAGGAAGGAAGGGAGGCTGGTGGGAAGGAGATAAGAGCAGGTGGAGGAAGACAGTAACCACACGTGTGTACAGAACTGCCAAAGGACAACCTTGACGATGATGACCACGGTGACTATGGTAATGATTGGCTGTAGCTCTGTGCACACGTACACACACACACACACACACACACACACACACACACACACATATGCATACACAGACATAAATACATCCATACTTACACACAGACACACATACAAAGACATAAATACATACATGCATACATACATACATACATACATACATACATACATATACATACAGAGACACGAATACACACACGTACACCCAGAGAGACACACATACATACAGAGATATACTTACATACATATATAAAGAGACATACATACATACATATAGAAAGAGACATGCATACACTCACATGCACACACACACACACACACACACACACACACACACACACGTGCGTGCGCACACGCTCACACACAGTTTGCCCTTCTGTGGCCTCTGTCTGCCAGGTGTCCCCTTGGATTCTTGCCCTGCTCTTTCTCCATCCTCTCCTTCCCCAGGGCTGCAGGGCCTCTCCTATCCCTCAGATTCTGACCCCGGGAGATGGCCGTGTCTGAGGCATTCGGTCTCCAGCTGCTGTGAGCCAGAAAATCAGCTCTCTGCTGTCACCATACAGTCTCCACTAAAGTCTCTTTATTCCAACCGAGTCTTTGGCCCAGGAACAGTGTTTCTCACCATTGGTTTGGGATAGAGGCAAGTTGGGAGTAGAGACGGTCTGTGTTCTCTCCCCTGCAAGACAGTCAGAGGGTGTGGATGACCGTTCACACCGGTGTATCTTGTAGGGGGCATTGCTCTGCTACCTTAAGTTCAAGGACAACAGGCCCAGTGGCTCTCCTGCCTTGTCCAGCAAGGACGCCCAGTATTTGTACTTTCATCCTGTTAGGAGAGAATCTGCCCACACCAGTGACATGAGAAGCCCCAGTGGGTGACTTCCTCTGGGGTGACAGTGTGTGGTGAGGGGTTCAGAGGACAGGGCAGAAGACACGGGCAGCTACAGCGGGAAGGATTTGTTTGTTTGAAAAGGCAGCAGAGAGGCAGACAGGGTCACATCCTTGGCTGTCGGTGCATTCCTGAGGCAGCCCCTCCAGGTAGTCGGGGAGCTTCAGAAGCTGGGAGCTGGAACCGACCTTGACTAATTTAAGGGTCTATCAGCAGTAGTTGTCAGCGGTCTCCAGTCCGGGCGTGTTTATGCAACTGGCCCTTTCGATTACATTTGGCCACATGTGACCCTGGTTGCTGAGTGCAGACCTCGGGCTAGATCCCTTAGGTGAGCTCTGAGGAATAATGAGCGGGTCTTATTTCCACTTGACACATTTCAGAGGAAAGGACAGTTGGTATGAAAAACACAGAGTCCATGACCTAAGGCAAAAGCGGGCCTGCTGACGAACAGTCCTCACTTGCAGCAAACTGTCTCTGCAGGAAAAACAGTGCCGTGTGCCACATGGATTTCCCACAAAGTCCAACTAGAATGGTCTGGACTCCCTGGAGCCTCAGGGATACTGCAGCAACCCAGGCTCTGAGGTGCATTAGAAAAGCCAAGCTCAAGCTCTTTGGAAACCTTATACACACATGTAACATACAACGAGATGCCAGACGGAAAATTCCCGTCTCACCAGGCTAGCCTGTGACAGGAGAGCAGAGCGAGGAGTCAAGAGAAAAACTGGTGTCCCGTCTGCATTCTTGAGAAGTGCTGGGTATAATCTTTCACTTCGCAAAGAATGCAGAAACCCGCCTGACATTAGGGAGTTTTTCTTTCTGTGTTGATTTTAATATCACGTTACATCTCAAGCCACGAGGGCCTTTTATCCTTGCTCTGGACCAAACTGAAAACATCTTTAGTCTTCCATTGTCTCATTCCAACTAGAAGATCTCCTTTCTTTGATCACACACAAGAACGTGAGCACACATGAACACTCACACACACACACATCACATACACACATATACATAAACACACACACATACACATAAACACACACACACATACACATAAACACACACACATAAACACACACGTACACATAAACACACACATACACATAAACATACACACACATAAACACACACATACACATAAACATACACACACATAAACACACACACACACACACACATAAGCACACACACACATGAACACACACACTGAGCCATTGTTAGTATCCTGCGATGTTCTTTCCTCGTCTACCTACCTAGAGAATGTATAAATCTCCACGTATTTGGAAGTACAGCAGGGTTCTTTTCTGAACAACATGATGGATGGATGAATGAGAAGAAGGAATGAGGGAAAGTAGGAAGAGAAGAAGAGAAAAGAGAAAAACAGAATAGACTAAGGAATTTATTTCCCAGATCTCCATAGTAATTTCGTCTTGCAGACCACCTAGCCACCGGGATTAGGCATCCCCTACAAAAGGCAATGAGCATGTGCTGATTTTGCACCTGTCCCCTAGCAGCACCCCCAGCCATGGATCCCATTACACCGTGATCTCCCAACAGCTGCCCAGTGCCAACAACCAGGCACCCCACATAAACGGAGGTGGAAGGTCCTTTGCTCCTTGACTGATCTCAGGATGTGTGACTGCTCCGATGTTTTCCTTCTCATTCCTGGGTCCTTATGTCGAGGAAATTAAAAAGAAAGAAAAATGCTTAACAACTGTGTCCACACACCCCTTCTTAACAACCGCACTCCCAGCACATGGCTTTCAGTATGACTTCATGAGTCAAGCCTGTGACTTCAAGATGTTGATCCAGATTGCTTGAAGTGTACTGACCCACACCGACCTGGCGTTGCTGGCCACGGTCTCTTATTATAAACCAAGGGTGTGAAAGCAGATGCCTCCACCACCACCAACCTCTACCTACCCTATCTGGATTCAATAACCATGGAGAGTGAGGATGCTGGAGTATGCCCCGAGACAGCCTCTGCATTTCCTTAATCCCCCACCTCCACTGTATTCATACACAACTGTAGTTTCAACTACCTGGTTCTCCTTCAAAACTTTATATAGTAGTCATGGTAACTCATTTTAAAGTGTCGTTTTGTGTAGAAATCTGGCTCCAGATTAAATGGTAAAGGGTTTTATTTTGTGGCATGTTTTGTTTTCAGTAATAAGGGTCATAAAAAAATCAGGTAGTGCCTGGGGAGATGGCTTGGTGGGAGACAGTGCTTGCTATGTGAACATGATGATCTGAGCTCAAATTCCCAAGATGCTTGCCCAAAGTCAGGCATGGCTGCACTTGTGCCTGTAACACCAATGTTGTGGGAGTGGAGATTGAGGCTTGCCGCTGCCAGCCTAGCTCCAGGTTCGATGGGAGACCATGTCTGAGGGGAATAAGAGGGAACATGATAGAGCAGGACTCTTTGTGCATGTGTGTCCAGCACACACACACACACACACACACACACACACCAGGTAATTCTTTCCTACCTGTGATCAGGTAGTGAGGGGGTGTCTAACCTAATGCAGCCAAAAATAGTGGTGAATATGGCTCCAGACAAATTTACTTGAAACAATGTCATAATATGAACACGCATGCCATACACATTGCTGTGAAAACTGGATTATGAGCTTCTGAAGTGGAGTTCCTTACATTAGATCTTACGGTAAGAGCTCTCCAAAAGCATGAACGAATGAGTAAGGGTGTGAATGAATGAATAGATAGATAGATAGATAGATAGATAGATAGATAGATAGATAGATAGATAGATGATAGGCAGTCATGTCAAAGCATGACATGGCCAAGTGTGAACTATAAGAAGTATTTCTTTTCCCACCATCTAAGACACATAATATTAAATTGCTGCCTCACTGATTATTTTTTGCGGCGCTCTTGCCCCCAAGGAAAAGTCACGACACACGACAGAATCCACTAACTAGAGTTTCATCAAGACAAAGAGAAAGGGATAGACGTGATCAGGCCTATGGAAGGACACGTGCAAGAAAGAGAAAGCAAGGACACGTAAGGAACATGGAGCCTGCCTTATAAAGACCAGGACACACCTGCGCACACAGGCCCACGTGGCTATTCCACGCATGAGCATAGATCACACGGTCATGTCCGCGAGACTACATGACCCATGTGACCATGGGGCATGGGTCATGTAGGACGTATGACTTGGAAATGATTAGGCAGAGATGACAAAGTGTCTCACCCGGCTTGCACAACTGTGAGGGCATGGTTGGAATTCCTATCACTCACCATGCTAGGAAGCTGAAAGATAATACAATAAAGACTTGTATTATGAATATTGCTGACTTTACTCCGCATGCATCATGGAGACATCCACTCACACTACTGGGAAACTACTGACCTGACCGGAAGTGTCTGAGGAAAGTTGACAGCATGCATCAACCAGCGAAGCAGTCAGCCTTTCTTACGCTGCATTCCGGGGCTAACACCAGCTCTGCAGAGTTTCCCCCATGTCCTCTGGCAAATCACCCTTGGTTTCTCCCAGCTCACAGTGCAGCATCTCTGTACCCACACCTACGTAACCAGCTCAGAGTGCAGCATCTCTGTACCCACACCTACATAAGGAGATTGCACAAGAAAAAGGAAATGGATTTTCCAGAAAATTCTATGGTTTTCTCTACCATAAACAGGAAGCAATGCAATCGGAATTTTGACATAGCATGACTCACTAGAGTAGAAAGCAGGGTCCAGGGATGAACACATAAGTCATACACATGCATGTGTGGAAGAGACCCAGCAGTAGGGATGCCTGAGTCAGAAATGGAAGCATGTTCTGGGAAGAAGTATAAAGCACCACCATGTGTTAGCATAACAATCATCTTAATGATATTTGGCAGCAACTTGATTATCATAAACCATGTCCTGTTCTGGCCTTCAAAATGAAGGTCACTGTGGAAAAGTTGGTTCAGAGGGAGGCTAACAAAATGGACAAATGTTTAGAAAACAAGACAAATGGGGCAACCGTGTTTTGCTTTGTTGAATGAGTGAAGGACTCAAAGCATCCAGCGTGGAGAAAAGAGCAACACTGGACAGTTGTAAAGTATTGTTTTTTTACTCTTCAGGGAACAGAGACTGAAAAACATACATCAGCCTCTGGCACTTAGGTCATGCTTTAGACATTAATTATTAGAGACTGGGGTTCAAAGTTCTTAGCTATTTAACCAGACTTTAAAGATTCCATCAAAATCCCCTGAGGTCTTCTGTTGGAAACTAGGAAGGCCTTGGAGGGGTCACTATTATATCCACTGACACCTCAACACTGGGACTATTCACTTGTCTTGCTTAAAAGGGCTTGATATGCTTCTCACACATCCCCACAGACATTCACTAGCACCTCACAAAGCATTGCTGCTACTTGACTGGACTCTAGGAGGGCTTCAAGGGTATAAAACATTATCTCAACCTAAGTGCCATCAAGATCGGGCATGGTGGGGCAGGGGAGATGACTGAGTCAGAAATATGCTTGCTACACCAACATGAAGACCTGAGACTGGATCCCCAGGGCTCACATGAAACGGCTGGACATAGTCAGGCTTGGTGGCACATGCCTTTAATTCAAGCATTTTGGAGGCAGAGACAAGCAGATGGCTGTGAGTTTGAGGATAGCCTGGTCTACACAGTAATTTCTAGGACAGACAAGACTTCATCATGAGACCCTGTCTTAAAATAACAAGGTGGAGGGTTGCTGAGGAATGACACTTGAGGTTGACTACCGACCTACACACACACACACACACACACACACACACACACACACACACACACACACGCACGCACGCACACACACACACACACACACACACACGCACACACGCATGCATACACACGCATGCATACACGCATGCCCACATACATATGCAGTCATGTGCACATGCACACACATACACATCGACACAGACACCTGTGTGGCTGCCCCAAGCCCTATGCAGCCTGAGGGATGGAGTGCCGATGACACACAGGTATGGACTCTAGTCCTGGCTTGGGCAGGACTCTACTTTTCAGCGAACTTCAGTTTCTCTCTGTGAAAAGTCAGAAAGGATGACCTACTGCTTAGCAACCAAGACAACAGTCTATCTGATTGCCTACTATGGTTTAACGAGGTCTCTGTAAGGCCAAGCAATGACTGAGCAAGTCCTCAGCATCAGACAATTTTCTAAGGTGGATTCCAGGCAATGCTCCGGATTCACGTTCTCCTCGATCACGTAAGCAACATGTCCAGGCTCTTTAGAGTTAGTGCTGACTGGGCATGCCTGCCAAAGTGCAAAACCCAGCATCCAAGATTACAGAGAGTGGGAGGAAGAGAACGTTCATGCTGCCCTGAGAGTGGTAGTCTAGGCATTAGCTCTTAATGGCTTGGGTAGTAGAGTATCCAGTAACATGACATTAACGGCTAAAACATAGGACCCTGTAACTGATCACTACAGAATATACTGCCAATCTTCAGACTTCGAGTCATCGATTAAGGGAAACATCTAACTGTCTGCACATACTGTTTTCACAAATAAGATTGCCGTTATCTACAAGTTGGGTGAGATGCGGTAAGATTTGCTGTGCCAGGGGGCTTTTCCTACCCTTTCCACCACAGGAGCAGAAGGCCTGTTCTCCTTTCCTGTGGTGGTTTTAACAGCCCAAGCCCCAGCTCTCCTGCCTGAACCTGTACAGGTTCATGTACAGAACCTCATTCTTTAACCCAGGGGTATGACAGCAATGTTCAGTGAGCAAAGTTGAAAGTCCCAAACGAAGGGAGGTGTGTCACGAGCATGCACAGGGACAATTGAAAGTGCCAGGTGAGGGGCACCTCAGATTTCAGGCCGGCTGTGTCTGAGAAACAGAAAGAGTTCTGCTTTGGGGAGCGGATCGTTGCTTGTGGGGGGAGGGGGCAGACAGAACAAGAGACAAGGCACCTCAGGAACCATGGGGGTGTGTTTCCAGCTGGCTCTCATTTAGGAAAAGCAGCTGGCACTTGGTAAATCATCTAAGCCATGGAAACAAAAGCCTCTGCCAGGGTTTGGGCCTTCCAGGAAGGGGAGGGGCTCCTTTGAAAGGCCATTGAGTGCTTGTGCCCACAGATGAGAGGCCTGCTCAGGTTCCCTCAGACCCTTCAGAAAGCAAGAGCCAATTGCCTTTCACCCTTGAGGTTTAAAAGCTTATACTGGCAATCCCAGGTCATGATTCTTGGTTTCTCAAGGACCTTTTGATAGTGATGTTATCGTCAAGCATTTTGTTTGGAGTCTAGGTGCAATTGCTCACTGGAATTGCCTCTGTCTTCTTCAGCAATAGTTTCCTATCCTAAGGAGGAGTCGTTCATCCAGAGGCTGCAGTTTGGAAGGAGGAAGAAGAGCCAGTGTTTCATTGACGCTGGTTGTAAAATGAAGTTGGAGTGGTACCATTCCACACTAATCAGAATAATGAGGTTTAAAAAAATGGAGCCATTTCCTGCCCACTCTGGGTGCCCATTATCCTATGCCAGTTGACAAAGAAATGCTTGGGAAGTTGGAAGTGCATGAAACAGTCACGGGACCTGAGGCCGAAGTCAATAGGTCGTTGTTCATTTCTGAGTTCAATTGCACGAGCAGGGGGCATTTAATGAGACACAAATTACAGCTCCTATTAGTGAGCGTTGAAAATGATGCTGGAAATGAGTCCTTGTGCGCAAGGAGGGCAGAGAGCTTCTTCAGTGTTATTAAACTCAGTATTTAAAATTAAGACCAAATGCCCGTAAACGACGCATCTTCCTTCCTAGTGGTTTGTTCTTTCAATGATTCAGTCAATGTGAGATTAGGTTTCAAGTGTCCCTAGAAAGCTGTAAGGAAAATGAATGCCACGATCTTTAGGGGATTTAGTTTCACCCAAGGTACGCTGAAATTTTCTTTTTCTACAGACAGTATCTCTTGTCAATATAATATGGTTAATGGCCAGGAATGCTGCCCCATGATGCTCTGGGCAGGTTTTCACTCCCTCTGCCCCCGACACATTGAGTTTAACTTAATCAGGGTTTGAAGCAGATGCCCCCGAAGCAGTTTTCAGGGTCCTTGTGTAAAAAGGGGAAACTATTCCCATTCTCCAAGACATAAGGTTGTGATTATGCCAAATGTCCTTAGTACCACCCTGACACCCCCTCCCACCATCCCTCCTGTGGGTTGAGCTTAATCTCTGTTTCAAATACACTCATTCTTCAGAGTTTTCTATGTCAGACATTAGCCAACCCCCTCCTCACAAAGTGGGACGAGGCTTCTCCTGAAGTATACACCCCAACACTGGTCCACTATGATTTGATGTCCTCCACAGATGGAACCCTTCATGAGGGGTAGCAGGGCCACTTTAGAGAGCTGATTAGTGCAGAACCCTTCAGAGAGAGAATCCCACAAGGAACTTGGGGGGCTGTGTGCTCTGAAGAGCCCTGCCTTGGGGGGTGGATTCCTTAGCTCTCATGCCTATGAACCGTGGTGGTCTTTGGCCTTTTCCAAACTCCCAGTGCCCCTGTCTGTGAAATGGGTAGGCATCATGGAGCTTCCATGGGAGTAAAGTAGGAGCAAATGCCAAGTGTGTGTGGCCAGCAGCCAGGGTAGAGAAGAGGTGACCAGTGAACACCAATGTGTAGCATTCCTTGATAAGCAGACACCAGCCAAACAGCTACCGCAAAGGCTGTTGGGAAGTTTAAAGGAGGGAGGCACATAAAATCACAGTGCAAGCTGGGGTGTGATACGTGATTCACAACAAATGGTTCATGCGTGGTGGCTGCGATCACTGTATGCTGCAGGCTCAGTGGCCTTGACCTCATCTCATAGACCCCACAGAGGCCTTGGAGCTGACCATGGAAAGGTGTATTGACAGGATTTGTGGACAAAGCCTGAGAATAATCAATATTTGGATCTGGACAGGCAAGATGGAGGACAGAGAGCCAGGTAACTCATGGGAACCTCAAAAGTCTGTGGGAGAACTAAGGGTCGATCATTCAGCTGTTGAGGGAGGAATCCTTGCTAGTTAGAGGATGCAGACATTATCCTAAACACTTCCTGTCTTACTCACAATCTGGTCAGCTGTGCCATAATGCGCACAGGAGAGAAAGGAGGAGGCTGACAAGGGAAGTGAGTGACATCGAACGTCTGTCTGAGTCAGCCAGGGTTTCTGTGGAAAGGAACCAAAGGAAATGTGTCAGTACCAAAGAGGGAATTCTGTACAGGAATTGGCCAGGCAGGGAAGCACCCCATGATTTTCTGTCAGCAAACAGTGAACCCAGAAAAAAAACTACTGGTGTCATTTATTCAGTGTGAGTCCAAAAGCCTGAGAAGTGGCTAGAGAACTCTAGAGAGTTCAAAGGTCAGAGCAAGAGCTCAGATGTCCACGAGTAGAAGGGTGCACGGGACACTCATCCTCTGTCTCAGTTCCCTTTCCTTGTTGTTATGATAAACTATCATGTCGAAGGCAACTCCAGGGAGGAAGAGCGTATTCTGACCCACAGTTCAAG